GCTAATTTCCAATATGATTGTGAACACAAACTGGAGGAAAGAGGTATAATTTTTCAGTAATTACACTTTTTTTTAAAAGTTCTTTTTTTTTTCAACGGAATTTGATGAATCCACACGCAGAAATTGCTTTTTCTCTGGTTTTGTATTTCACTAAGGAAATGACCCTTCTGCCCTTATACAACGATGAACAGAACGATCGTGGTTGTTAGAATACATCGTATATGGGAAGTTTTCGAGTGTGATATCCCATCGATCGATTATTGTTTGCCCCAAACTTTAAAAACTTTGAAAATTTAAAATTACATTCTTATACTCTACAAATTTAACTTTAAAAATTACATTCTTTTTTGTAGTGTTCTATTATGGAGGTTGGAAGAGAAATCGTTCGTAGGGGAAGATACTTCACGGGGAATTCTTGGAACCATTCGGCAGCCCATGTAGGGTTTCCATGTTTATGATGCTATTGGAATGCTTCTATATAACGGGTGCAACTGAGCCCTGCCTTCTGTTTTCGGGTGCAGAACCGTAGGTGATGCTAAAAACTGAGTTATTAAAGTGTACCGAATTTGCTTAAAAGGATATGGAATTCAGTTGGAGAAGTAGATTTGAGTGGATTTTTTAACCATCACGAATTTTTTGCAAGTAATTTATTAAAGAAAAAAATTTTTCCTCTAAAAAAATATTTTTGCACAGTATTTAAAAAATCCCACAAAAAGCGCTTATTTTTAGGAAAATTTTTATCAGACATTCCTCAGAAATATTTATTTTTCCAAAAAAAAGTGTTACAAACATGTCGAACAGACGGTTGGCATTAGCTGGAGATAAGCCGTTCTGAATCATGGGGATTAGTGTAGTTCGTGGAAATATTCCAGCAGCGTTATTGGTATGGGATATCTGTTCTTGGCAGTTTTCTTGGTTTTTAATATTTAATTATTGCAGGTGCGTGATTTGTGGTCAAATTCACCGCCAAATTTATTCGCGGAAAAAGATTTCAATAAGCGTCTTTCCTGCAAAGCACCGCACTGTGCCGTATGCCAGTATTTTGTCCCCAAACCATTAATGGAAAAGAAAAAGACACTGCCGATGAAGTCAGTTACTGAATTTGTTGTTTTGCAGCGCATTCATTGCGTTTGTCATTTTTTTGTACACAATTTTGAATGAATTCTTACCTAACTTGAACTGAATTAGTTAATTCAGACTACGTTTAGATAAAATATTTTAAAAAAATATGTATGAAAACTTCACTTCTGTATGCGATTTTCAGATCGAAACGTCTTGTGAAACGTTCATATTATGCAAAATCAAATCCAAATACGTACAGTATCGAAGAAGAGGACAGCGACTGTGAAGATCGACTATTCAGATGTGCAAATTGCCTGGTGGTAGTACACGAAGGATGCTATCCAA